TTAATTAAGTGTTTGTGACCTTTTGTGTTCCCCTTTCATACCTATAAATATGGGGGGTTATGTAATGTTTTGAAAAGTTGAATGATATTTGATTTTTGGAAAAAATCAGTTAACCTGCGGGTTGCTCGGAAATCCTGCGGGCTCTTTCCAACCTTCTTTCTCATCCCCTCCGGAAATCCTGCGGGCTCTTTCCACCCTTTCTTCTCGGGCTTCTAATCTCTTCGTCTCTCCGCAAGTGCCACTCCACCTGTATCCTTCTTCTCAAAGTGCAGCAACTTTAGGGTGTCTGTCGTGTTGTTTGTAAGTCGTCGTTGTAATTTCTTTTGTTTAATTTTATTTGAAATATAAGAGTTTGTTCTTCCCTATTATTGTTGTTGTTCGTCCGTAGAAGTCCGTCGTGTCTTTTGTGGGCGAAGGGTATAGGCTCCCTATATCTTTTGCTCGCATCAATTGGAGAGGAGGATCTGGCTCTCCCAATTCTCTAGCCGGGGGCTAGAGCCCAAAACACCCTAAGAACACTCCAAATTCAGTAAAAACAAAGATAACCCTAACCCTAGGGGAAAAATCCTACTTAAAGGATACAATAATTAAGTAAATCCCAAAACAGTCCCTCATTTGAATTTTCTCTCCTAAATCCCACCTTAATTCCCTCTAAACTAAGCTGCTCGACCCCACGCGCGAGAAGAGACGACCCCTACTAGGCGGAACTCCTATTTTGCCTTTGATAAACCAAGGCCGGTCCATAATGGACTGATTGGACCGGTCCAGGACCGACCTAACACAACACATTTATTCTTTTGCAATCTTCTGGATCCTCTTAGCATCACCTTTATTCTTCTCAGCACTCGATGCCAATAGCCTCTCTAAACATTTTATCCTTATGCTCCTTGCAATTTGAAGTAGTATAAAGCTTCAAAGACCCATCATATTCAATGTTATCCACTAGTAACTTGACTTATTCGATAATATTTATTAAATGTATCATATAACTAGTTTAATCACTACTACCATGACAACAATCAAGTTATTTGGCCATCTCAAGACTATTGGGCTGAATCTCTATCAATTTTTGGCAAGGTTTGAAATTATGCAATCGGGAATTGAGGCATTTTCTTTCTATGAGGTTAGGTGTAAACCTCATGATGTTTTAAAGCGTGAGCCTCAAAATTATACAATCAAATTAATGAAAAATATAACATAATAAGTAACATACTAACACAAAATAAGATATTAAAGTAACATCATAAAAATCATAAAAATTCAAAATGAGGCCATTAAAATTCAAGCAATGCTACAACTAACACTAAATAGTAAGTCTTTCTCACTTCTAGTTCAACATAAATAGCAGTCTAATGTCATAATTTATGAATTGAAAACTCTCCTACTCTCATTACTTAGAGGATCTTTATTAAAAGCATCATTATATTTAATTGCTTTCTTTCCTCCCTCATACTAAAACAAAGGAAATGGGTTACCCACAACAAGAGGAAAGGTGTTGAAGAGAAGCGGCAGTGATAAAGCTGCAATGGAGATATATCATAATCGGATATGGGCGTAAAGGTTTTGCATTGTTCAACTAGGAGTTTGAAATTGTGTGGTTTTTCTCAAGTTTGGTTTAGTTTATGTATTGTAAATATGTTTAGTTATATATATAAAATATAAATTTAAATTTTAAAATTGCTAAAACAATACTTTTCAATTCTTAAGCCTCTTCAAAATTGAGTAAAAATTATTAATGTGTGCCTTGAGGTGCACCTCATCCCAACTGAGGCGTAATCTCATTTGTCAAGTGAGAGCATACTCCTAGACTTTTTTCATAAAATTATGTTGAGGTGGGCCTCAAATTGTGTCATTTTTAATCATAATCTTCAAAATGACAATGTACATGCTACATTGAATTCCAGATAATATAATTCAATTACAATGCTTAAAAGGACAAAAATTGATCATATAACCATAAACTATATTGAGTTTTGATTCTCTTTAGGGAGGTATGCATGCATGTAGCAATGATGCATCAGAATGCTCAACTTTACCAAGAAAAAAAGACCAATAACCTATTTACATGGATGGTTGTTACACTATTATCACTTTCATTCCTAAAAAATTCCTCAGTCAATTTATTCTTTAATGAACTCTCAAAAGAAGCACCTTTTCTTAGTAGACAGAAAAAAGGGAAAAAAATGGTGAGGATGTCCAAACCAAAATTTAGTCAAAAACTCACTCAAAATATTAAAACTCCTAAATTTATTTTAAGATGAGTGTAATATCAAGTTGATTAATTATTCATGTAGTGCACTCATCATAAAGCAAATCCAAAAGTTTCGAAACCCATCCTTACACAAATTTTCTCCTAGAAAAAAATTATTAACTTCCCTTAGTTTGGAAGAGGAAACAAGATTTATTCATTCACACCCATGGCTCAAGATGGAGAACCATGGACAATTTCTCTAACCAAACAACAAAAAAATTGCCCAATCTCTTCAATAGGAGTGTTGACCCCAAAATTCTAAGAGTTAATGTCAAAACATAGATTCTCTCCTTGTTATTGACGTAGAGAACTTAAAAAACCTTCTATGTCCCTCTAAGATGAGGTCATGATGAGCATGGAATTCTTATCAATTAATAAGCAAGGGAAAATAAATAATATCATTCAACAACTAAAATGGGAAAGTGACAATAAGGAAGAAGATATACCAATAATGGTCCCTCAATACTTCTCATAGATCTCTAAGAAGCCTCATCAGAAAACAAATTCCTCATAAGCAAAAAGATGAACAAGCTTGCCACTTAAAAAAGCTATAGAAAGGAAAACACATCTAGACACTTTCAGGGCATAGGAAATTCACCATATGGGATCCCGGTATGCCAACGCTTTATGCATGCTAAGGCACATGTTATGCTATTACATGAGATGAAATTGGTCAATTTGAATCTAAGAATAACTCTGGAGATTTGATTTGCAATTTAAAGGGTGATCCTAAGAAGCTTGAAGATGTTAGGTAAGCTAAGCTTGATGAACTCCTAAAAATCAACATGGGAATGGAGGATGATCCCAGATTTTCATTTTGTTATTGCTTTCCTCCCAGAAGAATTGAAAGCATTACTCTTTGAATATAAGGATTTCTTTGCTTGAAACAATACTTAACTTGCAAGTGTGCTTCCAAATATGATAGTTCATAAGCTCTCATCAATCCAAAAGTATCACCTGCCAAGCAGGCATTAAGATGAATGAGGCTTGAATTGAAACACAAGTAATAATTGAGACCAAAAAGCTCAAAAAGTTGGAATCATCCCAAATAAGAAATATGTTGATTGGATTACAGTTATTATCATGGTTACAAGAAATGTTAAAAGCTATGTATGATTTGAGTTTTGGGACCTGAATAAAGCCTATTCAAAAGATGAACACAACATGTAGGAAAAATCATGGATGATAATACATCGAAGCATTTTATGCTCTCGTCATGGATAAGTTATCAAGCTATAAACAAATCAAGATGAAGGGCACTTTCTTCGTTAGGAGAATAATTACCAAAAAAACTTTTACGGCATTAAGAAATACTCACTATATCCCTGATTCTTGTGGCATTGATCCTAGGGTACCCGCCAATCTTATATATGGCTACTTTAAAAAAGTCGTTAGGAGCATAACTTGTTCAGAATGACGAAAGCTGAAAAAATACTCTCTATTATATTTGTCAACTATTAATAAATGGCTTTGAAACCTTAATGAAATATCTAGAGAAGCAACTTACTTAAGAGTTACACTTTGCAAAAAAAAAAAAAACAAAGGCAATTCATTAGGGGTTATTTGCTCTATTTTATATGTTTTAAATCAAACACATAAAGATATAAAATACCTGTAAGAAATATGTAATACACATTTTATTTATTTATTTTTAAGGCCAAATCAAGGAAGGCTTAATAATTTGAAAATCATGTGTGGACATCATAATTTGGAGAAGATTAATAAAAAATCTACCACAGGATGTGCAAGGACTTTAAGAAAACATGAAAGCTTTATAATTTCATACTTGTTTATTTTCATTTTGATTTCCATAGAGCCATATCTCCTGTGTATGCAAAGATGATTGAGTGATTATAAGATAATGAAGAATGGTCATCTAAATGGAATGAGTTTTGGATGAGAAAGTTGAGTATAAATCAAATCTATTTAAATATTCATTTAGTTTTTAATGTTGCAATAAGTGTTATGATAGTATTATTATATGAATATCTTGGACTTATATTTGAAACATTAAAGTAAAAAAAATATATATATCTCAATATGAGAAAATATTTCTTCCTTTTAAAAAGAAATTATATTCCTAAGTTAGATCGTTTATATTAGTAGACTCCAACTTAATCCTACTAAAATCAAGTCAATTTTAGAGTGGTTAACACCGAAATCTTTCATCGATGTTAGGAGTTTTTATAGATTGGCCACCTTTTATAGAAGATTTATAACAATTTTAGCACCATCATGGTCTCAAACATAGACATCTTTAGAAAATAAATTTTTTTATGGAAAAACTTTGTGACTAAAGCCTTTTAAACAAAGTCCTATACCGTCTTTAGTTATCCTTAAGGTGCATGACTTTATCAAGCCTTTTGAAGTCTCTTGTGATGCATCTAAGATCGGCATGAATGGAATGCTCAATAAATGAGCTAATTCTACTCAACCATGTTGCTTGGATTACTGAAAATTTAAATAACGCCAAGAAAAGCTATGGTCCTCAAACCACGCCTACTTGGCAACATAGCAAAATGAGCTAATTCTGCTCAACCATGAACTAGAGATCTTAAGCACAACCTAGGTATATAGAAGAATAAAAATATACATGGAAGGAGTAAAGCGAAAATCATACAATAAGCAGCTGTTGCTGCTAGCCCAAAATATTATTTCAATTTCAATTTTCCGTCTCAATTTAAGAAAAAAAAAAAAAACCGGTGGAACACTTAAAACAAGGCAACTGCAAGAAGAATAAACGAAGAACCTCATTGTCGAGGGTTGGATCGAGCCCTACGAAAGATCTGATCTCCGACTCCTCTGCATTCCGATCGTCCCCTTCATCCTTCTCTTCCTCCTCCTCCTCCTCCTCTTCCACCGCCTTTCGGCTCTCCGTGTCAGCGTCATCATCGAACTCATCCATATCCGATTCGAACTCCTGCTTTGAAGCCCTCCGAGTGCTACGCTTCTTCGCATAGCATCCTCCTTCAGCGAACGCGGAGGAACACGGATAATCCGATCTGTCGGGACCAGCGCCGGGGTCCCGGTTCCATTCCTTCCGCTCAACCTCGCCGTCGGCCACGGACCACGAAGACTCCGGAAAAGAGCTCAGGGGAACCGATTCGAAGAGCTGGGATCCGAACAAACGCTTGACACGAACTTCGAAGGTTTCCTCCATTTTCCGTCCTCTTGCTATCGGCCTTGCTCGGTCCAACTTACCATTTGAGAGGAGAAGCCTTGATCATAAGTTGTTGGTTAAGAAAACCTAGAAGCGCAGCAAGTCGCTAAAAAAGGACAAAGTAACTGCAGGTTTTTACCCAACTATTCAAAGAGCCGTCCGGTTTTATTTCTATTAATACTAAAATATAAAAAATTACTTATATAACTTGTTAATTCAAGACACTTTGATCGTAAGTTGTTGGTTAAGAATTTAGACTATCAACTTTCTATATATAATATGTATATGAATATGTCTTCATTGATCCAACTGTCCCAAAAAAGCTAAAGGATTTTTTTTTAATTCTGATCATTTTGTTGTAAAAAAATCGTTATTGAATTTATGGTTAAAATTTTGAAATAAGCTTATTCTTAATTTAATTTAGATGTAGGATTAGATTATAATTTGAAAAGGAGCAAATTCAAAATTCTTTTTTATGTTTTTATTAAAATCCTAAAATTATTTTTCGGTTTCTTACTAAATTGAAAAATTAATTTCCAATTTTCTTAAAAAACCGAAAAATAATTTTACGATTTTAATGAATTGCACTAAATTTTATGCGTGGAGATTGAATATTTTATGCGTATTCAATTTGGCCATCATACATAAAACGTTGGCCGACAATGGCTTGCATTTTTTGCTGAAAAACTATTCAAATTGCTGAGAATAACCTATTTTATTCAACATAATTTATGCAAAGGAATTATTTTTTCCTATTATAAATAGGATGGTTCATAGAGGAGAAAAATTAGAACTAAATTTTGAGTGAGAGAAGTGGCAGTGGCGGATCTACAGTGGGGGCCATGGGGGCACCTGACAAAATGAACAAAATATTCCAGTACTCAGCAAGGATCGAAAGAACCAGTGGCCGATCAACTGAAGTATTGTCCCGTTTCAGCTTTCAATATGATAAAACATAAATTTAGTTTTATCTAACATAACATTTTGAAATACAGGCGGTGTGGGACTAAAGATTTTTTAAAATAAAATTTTTAGATGCCGCGGAGGAGAGAGCAAGAGGCGGGCGGGCAATTGGAATGAGGCTGGAGCTCTCTCTCTCTCTCTCTCTTTTTGAAATTAGAGTTAAAGTTGCCAAATGTTTTTTAAATATTAAGGAAATAAATTAATTAACAAATAAATTTTTTTAATAAATCTTAGTAACTTAATTAATTTAATAGGGTTAACTTTAAATTTTTTTATCATTTATGATTTTCTTTAACTAATGTGAATCATTACGTCAAATTAATTTAGAAATAGGGAGAATATTATCTTATAATTTAAATATAGTTAATCTAAATATTATTTAAAATTAAGACTTAATTCAATTAATTCAAATAAAATATTCCTAAGTATAAAATTAATTTATTTGAACTCAATTCATTAACATTCTTAATTTCTTAATGAATGATAAGAGAGAGAGGAATTTCTTAATGAATGATAAGAGAGAGAGAGTGATATTTATATTTCTTTTTAAGGGGATCAAATATATATTTGATTGTATTTTTTAATTTTTAATTAAAAAATATCTCATGATTTATAATTACATTAAAAAATGATATTTTAAAAATAATTTAATAACTAGTATAAATTTGTATCCCCATTAAAATTTTTTTCTGGCTCCGCCCCTGAGAAGTGGAGAAGGGATTGAAGGAATGCGGCAGATTTTGAGGAGACAAAGCCAAGAAAAGAATGTTAGCAAACGAGTGCGGTCTTTATTATTTATGCAAGATTATTGTGATTAATATTTTAACAATTAGTATTTATATTTGGTAGATCTATGAAGGGGTAATATTTAACTTTAGACTTAGTAAATTTTATTTTATTATGATACAATAAAATAGGGAGAAAATTTGTGATTTTTATAGCTTTATGGCAAGCTTATGATGTAATTTATTTTTAGCATTAACTAGTTGCTTCCACCATAAAGATAATATGGTTGACCTCATGAAAGAATTTATTGAAATATTTTCTTCTTTTAATTATCATATAAGAGCTATAAATATGTGATGGAATTATAATAAAAAATTAGTTTGGATGGTATGATGTAGAATGTTCAGATATTTTCTTAACATTGATGTCTCTCCCCCATAAAAATTTTGGTGAGTTTCTCATAAAATATTAATTTTTTTCTATAATTGTATTTCTTATTCCATGGTTAATGATAATGTTATCTTCACCATCAATCAACCTATTTCTAACATGAACATATGGTAGTAATGAAACTTTGATACGACACAGTTCAACTTGGCCTGTTGGTTGAGAGCTTAGGCTACCAACTAAGAGGTTTTGAATTCGAGTCTTTGTGTATGCAATGTGTTTGTGAGTATGCTTTTATTGGCCTAAATGTCCAAAAAAAAAAAAAACTTTGATACGGTGGGATAAAAACTGGAAGCCAAGCCTAAACTTGTAGAAAATTGGTTGGTGGAGGCTGAAGAGTGGAAATAACCGCATCATGAATTATAAAAAAAAAATATTACCTTGAAAATAAAATTTCATTATTCATTCAAGATTAAAATAAGATATAGATAATACTGGACAAAATATATACATAGATGTTGGCCATTATATATTTTCAATTTTATCATAATTTTACCATTTATTTTTTTTAGATGTTTTAAATTTTAACAATTCTAATTTAATAAATAAATAAGAATATACATATATCTCCATTTTGAAAACTATAATTTTATATACTTTTTGAATAATTACATTACATTTTATATATACAATTATAATAATATGACAAATTACTTATATACATGATAATATGACAAATAACATATATACAAATTATAAAGTATATATCTAATGATATTTGAATATACAAATTACAAAGTTTAAGACAAAAAAGTTCTCTTAACTCAAATATTTTATATCTCTTAATTTATTATCTAATTATTTTGATATATTATCAAAAAAATTATCTTGATCAGGCATGAATCTCAAGGCAAAATCAAGTTGAAAACTTTCAAAATTAAATTCAAAACCATATGAACTCTGATCTCAGCAGACTTATAGTCAAATTGAATGTCTCGAAAATATGAACCCAATGACATACAATTTGACACAATCGAGCCCAAATAGGGCCAAGTTAAAGGCATGAAGCGCCTTTAGAAAGTTTAAACCATAAATTGGATGACCGTGAATATTTTATGATAGAATAACATGATGTCGTCTGTGGGAACGTCGTTCCTGGCTAAGGGGCAACTATTGCTCAAATCTTGAAAGATTATTCATGTGAACGTCTTGACATTAGCTATCGTTGTATCAATTTCACGGGAATCAAATGTGGACTTGGGGGCAACCTTGATTGTAGCCGTATTCAAGAAGATACCTCTAATACTTCTAATATCTAAGATGATATATCGAGATTTTTTTTTTTATAAAGCCTCTAACAAATTCAAGGATGCTTCTAATAAATTGCAAGTTTTATACAGTTCCCAGCTAGACTTCTACTCCTTATAAAAGGTCTTAATCTCAACCTCAAAAAGGTAGTAACAGTTTAAAGATAGAACATTTTTCATTTTTTATTTGAGATAGATGCTGCATTCGCCCCATCCCAATTAAGGAATAAAAGATTCCAAGGGGATTCGATCTGACCTCTTCCACATAGATTAATGTCCTCGAGCAATGCTCTAAAAAATAACATCGGATAGGTTAAACATCTTAGAAGGATGTCGATGAAATCTTAAAATCCATAATTTGAGAAATACATAATTTTATTACATCTAAATCAATGGATGATCAATCCCAAGGGATTTGATCTGATTTCTTATATATAGGTTAACATCATCAAGCAATGCTCTGACAAATAACCTTAGATAGGTTATACATCCTTGGTGGATTCTCTTGATATCTTCCTCACAGGTTAACATTATCGAGTAACACTCTAATAAATAACCTTGAATAGGGCATACATCTTTGGTGAATTCTCTCGACCTCTTTCACATAGGTTAATGCCATCGAGCAATGCTATGACAAATAACATTAGATAGGTCATATATCCTTAGTGGATTATCTTGACATCTTTCTCATAAGTTAACTTTATCGAGCAATGCTCTGATAAATAATCTTGGATAGGTCATACATCCTTGGTGAATTCTCTCGATCACTTCCATATAGATATGAGAGGAGACATATAGGACAATGCTATCCGATTACAATATAATGCTTAAGATGTGGTTAGCATGGACACGGGGTGATAAATTACCCATAGAGAGGATTCGAGGAAAGAAATAGTGTAATGTCTAAGAATCAAATATGGAATAATTATTTTTTATCTTCTTATTTAATCAACCAGAGTATCTAAAAATTATCAAAATAATAAATCTATATCCAATAAAAGTAGCTAATAATTGCATACCTCAAAATATTGCTTTATATTCATTCTCTCAAAATAAATATACAATAGTCACGAGATCAGTATAATTACTATTATATCAAAAACTCATTGTTGACCTCATTTTAAATTCAAATTCATATTAATTGCCATGATCCCTTCTTTAAAATCAATTTGAGCCTTATCCAAACTAATTGAAGTAGATTTGATTGAATGTATATAATTAAAATGACCTCGAATCGATTATACTAGATTTGCGTTTGGTTTGACTTCGACACTATCGTCGACCATTAAATTGAGTCAAGTCAAGTCTAAATTATTTAAAATTACTTGGATATTAATTAAATAATTTAAATCAAATAGCATCAAGTAAGATCGACTCGACTCGGATAAGCTGTTTAAGCTCAATGGCTTCCCCGTTTAATAAATCTTGACTCGACTCAAATAAAATTGACTTTCACAAACTCAATTAACTCAAATTAAACCCTCTCAAGTTAAATTGACTTCAGATTAATTCAAATGAGCTAGGAAAATTTTTAATCCAAATGTCACATATTTAATTTGGCTTATTCTATTTCATATTTCTCTAGCATTTAACCCTCCAATGCCTTTTAAATTTCAGCAAATTATATTGGCCATTGGATGGAAATCTGAGGGACATGATTGTCATTTGAGCATTTAAACATGATAGTATTTATAATTGGGAATTAGGGCCTACTACT